CCCTGCTGTTCACACCACTGCAGGGTCGGTCCTCTGCTGGAATCCCTCTCAGGTCGTGGCCTCCCCATCGAGCCACCCATGACTCTATCGGGTCAAACTGCATCATGGAAAGTAACTTTCCCCACATTGTCTTATGCCGCTGAGCTAAATCCCCAGCCCCTAAATTTACTGAGTTTTAAATGGTACAGCTGTGTGTGTTCTCACCTTCTCAGTTTGAAGAGAGGAAGGGTATACTTCTAAATGGAAAATTTGGCTTTGCAAGATGGTTCAACTACTAGATAGAAAAGTATTGATTGGATTGATTTTTTTGGTTTTTTTTTTTTTTTTTAGACAGGGTCTCACTATGCTATTTAAGCTGGCTCTGAGCTTACTTTGTAGCCCAGACTTGTCTCGAATTTGCAGCGATCCTTCTGTCTCAGCCTCCCAAATCCTGGGATTACAGGCATGTGTCACCATACTTGGTTTATGATGCCTTTTAGTCTTTTTTTTTTTTTTTTTTTGGTATCGGAAATTGAACTCAGGACCTTGCACTTGCCAGGCAGGTACTTCTGCTGCTGAGCTATATCCCAGCCTTGGATTGATTGTTTTTTTTTTATCCTAGCCTTTTCTTTCCTTTTTTTTTTTTTTTTTTTCTTTAAATACAGGTAAAAGGGCTGGGTATATAGCTCTGGAGTAGAGTACTTGCCTAGCATGTGTGAGACCCTGAGTTCACCCCAGAACTAAATGAAATTTAAAAATGAGAAGAAATAGCATGAGTATGAGTGCTCTTGTGTGTCCAGGCTTGTGTCACTGGCCCCTTGGCCCCTAGTACAGGGAAGGCAGGGAAGGTAGGTTGACCATCATTTGTCCTGGAGAGGCAAAGAGAACTGCAGAGAATTTCTGTCTGGCTCTCGTAGACTTGGAGGGCACACTTCAGTGAGGTCATTTGAAAACCAGCATTGCCATCTAACAGATGTGAAAGAGATGAAACTACTGTGGCTGAGGTTCTGATAGCTGATACCTGAAAGGAATTTTCATAAAGAACCGTTGAAGTGGTAACTCTGTCCTCACTCAGTGAGGGCCTTTTTACTGCCGTGAGTGGCATGGTGGTATTGCAAACTGATCTCCATGCCGTTGGAAAATGTCCTGAGTTGTAGTCACTGTTTGATCCCAGTAACAAACAGCCGTGAACTGGTGCTGGGTGCAGACAGATTTGGGGCTGGGAATTGAGCCATGGCAGAGTGCTGGGGCACTTACAGGAGCGTGCACGCCACTGAAATACCAGGAGGTTCCCAGTTAAAGGCTGATTTATTACCTGTTTTATGCTCTTCTTGGTATTGAGAGAAAATGGAAACAATTTCGGTCCCATCCATTTTGCAGCCAAATGAATCATGCCTGACTATCCACCTTTAGCTTCGCTTTTCACTGTGAAATTTTCCAGCGTCAGCCCTGGCATGATGGCCTTTGCTGTAATCCCAACACCATTGCTGTGAGTTTGAGGCCAGCCTGGGCTACATAAAGGAGACCTTGTCTCACAACAGAAAACAAAACAAGCTGGGTGTGGTATCGAATATCTGTGATCCCAGCACTCAAGAGGCTGAGGCTGGAGGATTGTTTAGAGTTTGAGACCAGCCTAGGCTGCAAAGTGAGCTCAAGTCCAGCTTGAACTACATAGTAAGTATCTCAGAAAAGTCAAAAACAAAACAAAATGTACAAGTTTAGATGATGATAATCAATGGCTTGCTCATTCAGGTACCGATGTTAGAATTCTAGAGATTGTACTGGAAGAAAAGTAACCAAAACTGAATGTGTACTTACCATGTAATAGATACTTGGCTCAGCACTGTTATCTTTGCACCCTCTAAATTACCCAGCATATTAAATCTTTAGTGAAATACATTAACATGTGGATAAAAAGCTTAAGAATGGATTCCGTTTAATCCTCTGCCATCCAAATAACTTTCCTTGGGATATAAACTGATGCATGCATTATCGGGGTGATGGTTTCCAAATTCTAGTTCAAGGCTTTCTAAATGACTTGTTGCCTTTTAGAAGTTTTGCATGGGACCTTTTGTTTTTTTCTTTGAAATGGCTGTCACTAGCAGATGACTCCTGAAGGTGGAAGCTGCCCCAAAGCCCCCACTTTATGTAGCAGCCTCTGGACTGCTGGGCATAGCTGCAGGGATCACAGCTCTTCCTACTGCCCTTAGCCTGAGTCTCAACCTAGTGATGTCAGCAGGCCAGCTCATCCCAGGCCTGCCCAGGCTACCACGCAGGGACTCTCCATGTGGCTTTCACATGCCTCGATACCTGTGTTCCTTGGGTGTCTCCTAGGGCCTTTTTGCACCAGTGGAAAATACCTGTCACTATCTTTTAAAAAGCCTGAGACTAGAATCCAGTTAAGAGCCATGCATGCATTTGGCAGTGACCCAGTAATTTCCTCCCACCTGGAATAGTCTGCTCCTAGCCCTTGGAGTTTCCTGCACGGCACCAACTTCCTTAGAGAAACCTTGGCCAACTGTCTTCTTAAGTGTCCTAGGATCTGTGTTTGTGTGATTGCTTTGTCATGCTTCCAGTTGAGCTGGAGAGTTCTGGCAAGCATCTTAAAGGTAATGCTACCATCCATGGTAGAGAGCAGTTGCTGTGTATCTGTGCATATGCATGGACTACCCTATTGTAGATGCTGTGTGTGCCTCTGTGTCTGTGTATCTGTGTGTGTGCACATGTCATTCCACTGTGAAATACTTGATTCCAGCAGATGTCATCTTAATCCATTCAGGCTGCTGGAACAGAAGGCCATAGTCGAGGTGACTTATAAACAGAGATACTTCGGTTCTGGAGGCCAGAAGTTCATGGTCAAGGCATAGCAGATTCTCTGTCTGGTGAAGGCTGCTTCCTGGCTCATAGATGGCACCTTCTTGCTGTTTCCCCAGGGTAACAATGGCAAGGAGTTGTCTGGCGTCTCTCTCATAAGGGCATTGTTATGGCTTAGATGTCAATTTTCCCCCAAAGTCTTTACTGTTTGGAAGGTGACTGCATTATGGGGTGTCATACTCATGAGTGGATTTGTCCATTGATGAGTTTACGGCTGACCCTGCTGCTCTGAGGTAGAGGTGGTTGGAGGTGGTCGCTGAGGGTGTGGCCTTAAACGCTGTGTTCTTGTCCCTGGCTCCTCATCTCTTTCTGTGTTTCCTGACTTCCGACTTTCTTCTGCCATGCCTTGATGTTTCTGCCTTGGAGCCAGTGTACCATGGACTGAACCCACTGAGCCTGAATGAAATAAGCCTCTCCCTTCGGTGCAATTGGAAGGTATTTTGTTCCAGTTCCAGCAAAACTGACTAATGCAGACTTTAATTCCATTCCTGAGATTCCTCCCTCATGACCTCAACATTCTCAGAGACCCTTCCTCCGAGTGTCGTTATCTTAGAGATTAAATTTCAACCTGGGAATTAATTGGGGGGGGGCACATTTGGACCACAACACTATTTGATTTGTAGATAACCATAACTATGAAAATCATTGTCATCTATTTCTATTGCAAATTTTAACTGTATAGGTTCCATGAATGTGCATGCACATCGTCATGCAACCGAAAGGCTTTCTGCTCCCTTGGTTTGCAAACGCCGTCTGCTCAGCCTGAATTAAGTGGAATTGTTCATACAAGCTTCCACAAGGCACAAATCTCAGATCTAAACTCTTGCTGAGACTGGGAATAAAACAGAGCTAGAGAATTTACCAAGAGGGATTCCTGGGCCAGTCCTTCCTACTTCTGCACCTGGGAGGGGGTGCAGGGAGTCCCCAGAAAGATAACATATCACAGAACTGTGACCTTGTCTGCATTTCCTGCAAGTGATAGAAGTGTGGTAGAAAGTGCAGCCTGAGTTGTGCTGTGAATACGAAACCTTATCATACAGCCCAGGTTTTTTATGCTTGTTAATCAGGCTCCAAAAGCACCAGAACCTTTTGCTGAGTTAGTAAGATATCAAGAAGAAGAGATACGGAGCTAAAAACAGCATGAGAAGAGAACAGCAGGGCAGAGAGTTAAAATGTGTTTTAAAAGCTGGGCACGGTGACGCACACCTATAATCCCAGCACTTGGGAGGCTGAGGCTGGAGGACTGAAAGTTGGGGTCCTGCCTGGGCAATTTGGGGTGCAAAAACTCTGAGTGTGACAAGGGCTGTTCATCGTAGTTATGTGGGGACCAAAAACCCTGAAGAGGAGGGAGAAACACCCAGCTTAGTGCAGTTCACAGGGCATCACTCTGGCATATAACGGTCCCCACTTTTCCTTGGGGAAGCAGGTGCCGCCCAGCACCATCAGGGGTATGTCTGAGCCTTGCTGTGGGAGGCCCCTTGGAGACTGTGACTCCTGCATGGGATGACCAGGAGCTCCACCAACCACTCAGGGACTTTATAGCTATCACAGTCTAGGCCCAGGTACTCCTGTGACACCCGGATCAGCGATAAGGAGGACACCATTAAGGTGCGATAGAAAAGCTCCAGGCTACCAGGTTCCCTTTGGTGTGACCAAACAGACACCAGGAAATGTTGGAAAATGCCATGATGTTCTCCAGATCCTACACTTTCCACGCTGGACTTGTGAGTTTTTCCAGTTAAAGAAAAGAAGAAGGTAAGCTATATCTTAAATACATAAAGGTAAGCCAGGCATGGTGTAGTGTGCTTGTGATCTCAGCACTCTGGAGACTGAGGCATGAGGATTGCCGTGAGTTTGAGGGCAGCCTGGAGTCTGTAGTGAGTTCCAGAGTTTAGGGAGGCTGGTCCTGTGCTTCACGGGTTCTGATGTGTGTGCTGCACATGCTTAGCCCTCATTGCTGGGGCAGCTTTCACAGGAAGCTGCTTGCTATCCTGCTGTGCTTTCTCTCCGGATGCTTAGAAACACGTCGGACCATACACATTCAGTTCTCTCATTAAACTATGGTCCCCAGTGTCTGAGGTTTCCGGGTTTGCTACTTAAGTCCCCTATGCAAAGTCATGCAGCGTTTGCTCATCATTGGGGCAGTCCTTCTGAATGCTTTCACTGTGCCTACCGTGAGGGCTGTGTAGGTTGCTTCATTGTATTGTTCCTGGAATAACCATGAGAAAAAAGTGTGTTCTGGACAGACACACTGGTCCCCAATATTTTCTATTGGCAGTTGGTTGAATCCTATGGATACAGAGGGCTACCTATACCATCTATTGCAAGTGGAGGTAAAAGTTTCATTTGCATTTTAGTTTTTTTGTGGTACTGGGGATTGGACCTAGGCAGGCTGAGCTGTGTCGCCAAGCTTTTTCTTATTTTTCCTTTTCACACAGGATGTTGGTATGTTTTCTAAGTTTCCCAGGCTGGGTTTGAACTTGGGATCCTTCTGCCTCAGCCTCCCAAGGTGAGTGTTTTAAGGAAACCCACAGGGGTTGTCTGTGTCTTGTTTCTGCAAACTGGAGATTACTTTTCTTCTTCCCATGCAGCTGCTGAAATTAGGCAAAATATAAGACAGTTCTTAGAGATGCGTGTTTGGCTGAAGAGGAAGGAAATGAGAAACATGAAGGGAAGAAACGAAGTTCTCCACCAGCTGATGAGAACGGCTAGTGTTTCCCCAGGAAAAGCCCTTCCTCTGACCTACATTGATTTCTCCTGACCTCTAGACGGTCTGGTCTGCAAGTGACCCCTTGAATTTAGGGCTGTTTTATGGATTCTTGTTTTCTTGTTCTTTGTTCCCATAATTTCTGACCCAATGCAGGAAACCAACCGTCACTTGGAAAGTCACGAAACCAGGTCTTAAAATAAATTTCCAATTTCTCCGTTTTGCTTTTCATTCCATTGGTTGGCAGGTGGGCGGCAAGGGGGAAGGTCTTTCTCCTGTCCCCTTGACCAGGGACCATAAAAGAATGAGAAGCTTTCTCCTGTATGCCACTGTGGGCGTGAATTCCACGAAGTGAGGCTGACACTGGGCACCCGCAGCTGTGTGGATGGAGGGTCCCATGGAGAGAAAGCGGCACCGTGGACAGAGAGACAGGTGGCTGAGGGGGTGCTGTGAGGGGAACATTACACTTGGCTGATTCCTAAGATGGCAAGAGGCAGATCTGCATGCTTGGAAACTCGCACGGGGAAGCATCTTCATTTTTTTTAAAAGCTTATGCCTCACAACGACTGCATTCTCTTTGGAACCTGAACTCTGGCCTCCCTCAAACGCTTTGGTGAATTTTTCAGTAAGCACTCCTGTGTTTTATTCTGTGACTCTGGCTTCATCCATTTGGCTAAAAGACTTTGGCTTACGTGATAAGAAGTTCATCTTGGTACAATGATCACAAGTAACAGCAAACGCAGAATGTCTGGCTTGCAGAACGTCTCTGTGTAGCCAGAGAAACAATTTATTTCCTAAAAATAAAGGTTTGAGGGCTGGGGATTTAGCTCAGCGGCATAAGAGCCTGCCTTGCAAGCAGGCAGTCTTGAGTTCGATCCCTGGTACCAATAAAAAAAAAAAAAAAAAAGGTTTGGTCTATCCAGTAGAGTTATGTTCATGATATAGCTTTTAGTGTGCAACCCCTGTCACACACAGAGCCAAGAAACACAGCCCTGGGTTTAATCTTTCACCGATGCAAATATTTGATAGAATACTTAAGATTTTTATCTCAAGGCTGGACCTTAAAAATTTATCTCAAAAACAGCCTCTAAACCAGGAGATGCCCACACCTGTAATCCCAGCACTCTGGGAGGCTGAAGCAGGAGGATTGGAAGTTCAAGAATGGACAGTTTAGAGGCTTCGCAAGATCCTGTCTGAAAATGAAGATAAAAAAGAGTATGTGTGGCTCTGCATTCAATCTCCAGTGCAAAAAACCTGCTTAGTATCTTGTCCCACACGCTCCAGAAAAAAATTAACTTGTGGCCTACACTACCTAGTTTCTATTTTTTGTCCATTAAACCATACATAACAACTGCATAATTCACAGAGGTTTCTGGCAACGTTATCTAGAAAGTTATAGGGAAATCTGGGGGAAGCATGTGGCATTTCTCTACTCTCTTTATCAGAATTGTTAGAGTTTTCCGGTGCAATAAAGGAGCAGGATATAAGAAAAAGTAAAAGCGGCCTTTTTAATTAAAGGATGTGGAGAGGAGCCCACCACCAGCAATGGTTTGGTTTTCTCCTCTGACTGGATATGAGGGTGTGGGGTATAAGTGACCTCTGAGCAGATGTGGGGCTTGGGGTGGGCATTGATGACATATGAGGAGCTGATTGGTTGATTCTTTGTGTGCATGGGGAAAGGAAGAAGGAAGTTGTAATCCGAGAAGAAGGAAGTGGCTGTCAGGGTAAGCATCCCCGATTTGGCCTTCCACCCTGTTGAATTACAGCCATAATGTCCTGTAATTTATTCTAGGGCAAAACTCTTTCAAGAATATAACCAGAAAAAGCAACTTGATAGGGCGAGATACATTAGCTCTGAGAAGAACAATTAACCTGATGTATGGAAATATCCACATGCAATGTTTGGAAACTTTAAAACTGTGAATAAACAAAAGAAGTTATTGTATCTAATTTACTAAGCAATGCACTGCAAGGTCTGACATCTTGGCAAAACGTCTTTTCCTGGTAGAACTGAGTCCTTTGTTGTGTGAGTCATGTTTGGGGTGTGTGTGTGTGTGTGTGTGTGTGTGTGTGTGTGTCTCAGTTAGTTTGGCTTCATAACAAATCACCCCCCCAAATCTTGTGGCCTAAAACAGACACCATGGTTTCTCATCCCTCTGTGTCTGTATGGGCCAGGAATGTCCAAGTGATTACTTGATAGCTCTTACTCTGGGGGTCATGAGGCAGCTCTCGGGCATCACCCAGGGCTATGAGCACAAAGAGACATAGCTGAGGAAGGAGGGTCTCCTTTGTGTCTCTCTAGCTGGATCTCTCCTCACAGCATGGTGGCCAATGTCTTCTAAGATGGGTGGTCCAAAAGCCAAGGTAAAAGTGTGGCAGGTGTTGGTGGCTTTCCTCAGAAGTCACACACGGTTGTTTCTGCTGTTTTCCATTGGGTGTGCAGGGCCATTTGAGCCTCAGGGTGCAGTGGACACCCAAAGGTGAATCCCAACCAGTGAAGGTCATTGCGCCATCATGGCAACTGATATGTGTGCTCTTGCCTGACTTGGGAAGGCACTTGGCAAACCCAGATCCATTTCCCCTCAAGCTGGTCAGTGGGCCAGAAAAAGGAATCAGATTTTAAAAGCACGAGTTTCAAAACAGCAACTTTAAGGATGATAAATGTGACCTGCTTCTGGTCACATTTTGCTGGGAGTGATGGTACACAGCTGTAATTCCAGCTGCCCTGGAGGCTGAGGCAGGAAGATGACAAGGTTCCAGGCCATCTGGGGAAACTTAGTGACACCCTGTCTGCAAATAAAATTTAGAACAGTCCAAGGATGGAGCTCAGTGTTAGAATATCCCTGGGTTCAAAAATAAGAAAAAAGGATGGAAGTGATTTTAGAATTATATCCTTGTTTAATAGGTAAAATATTTAAAAACCTTTATATACACAGCCATTTAAAGCTTTATTTTATTTTTACTTTTTTGAAATGGGGTCTCACGATGCTGCCCAGGCTGGATTTAGGCTTCTGGGCTCAAGAGATTCTCCTGTCTCAGCATCCCAGATAGGTGCATACCACTGTGCTAGGCTCGATTTTAGTCTCTGAATTATAGCTTCCTTGCTTTACTTGACCGGAAGAACCTCACTCCGCAACATGGCAGTAGAAGCAAGCAGATCGTTCATCCCTGACAGTATTTGTCTGTGCTGTGGTTCAGTAATGAGTATAGTCACAAAGCAGAAGATCTTGAAAAATTCAGAATTTTCAAACTCTCTATCAAGGACTCTGGCTGAGTTCAGCGGTACATGAAAGGTTTTGGCCCAGACAGGACACTGTAGCCAGGAAAGCCACAACCGGAAGCAGGAAGCCCCATCTTGCCCTGCCCCTAAGAAGTTACCTGTGACGCCATCTTCCCGCCCCTGGGAATTTACATATGGCGCCAAACCTAGGACCAATGGGCTACCTGTGTATCCCTAATGCCCGCCTTAGGTTCCACCCCAAACCGAGGCTATTTACAGGCCCCCACGCCACGTGTCCGCTGGAGAGATCGCCGGACGCCAGCGGTGGGGTGCCGGTCATCTCTCTCCGTGTTCTCAGAATAAAGGCCGCTTTTTATTTTATATTTCTCATCTTTTGTTAATATTTTTCACCTTTTGGAAATAACTATCAGTACACACTTGTCATTCCAGCATTTTGGGAGGCTGAGACAGGACAGTTACAAATTTGAACCCAACGCAGGCAACTCAGTGACTTCATAAGTCCCTGTTTCAAACCAAAACACAAATTAAACACAAGTTAGCAGGATGTAGGTTAGTGTGAAGGCCCCAGGTTCCATCCCTGGCGCCGCAAAAGGTGAATACCAACAGGAAAAACACAGCTGGGTCGGGTCCCAACTCTTCCCAACCCTGGCTGCCTAGGAAAAGAAGCAGATTGCTTCTCTGTGTCAAAAGAAAGCCAGGCTCACTGCTCCCAGGTACTCTGAGATGCACGAACTTGTCCTGCTGGGAAGTGGCTTGGGGTTGGGCTGGGGATTTAGCTCAGCGGCATAAGCACTTGCTTTGCAAGCAGGCAGTTGTGAGTTTGATCCCTGGTACCGATAAAAATGAAAAAGACAAAAAAAAAAGTGAAAGAAAAAAAGGAAGTGGCTTGGGGTTTCAAAAGGCTCTGTGACAGGAGGTGTGGCCCAGTGTCCCGTTGTGGGATGAGAACAGTGTGTCCCTTGTAGGGGAAACAGAGCCCAGAGAGCTTGCAAAGCAAAAGCCTCGGGAGCAGCATTCATCAGAGGCAGGGATCCATGGTTTGAGGCTGGGGTCACCCCTTGTTTTATGTGACTGTATCTCAACTAGGGAGCTGGCCCTGGCTCACACACACGGAGCACAGAAGGTCTGCAGCTCTCTTTTCGTCCTTGCTTATTTTGCTTGCGTTTGTGTTTTCTCTGACACTGGCTTCCCAGAGCAGTAAAAAAGGGAAACAAATTGTATGGGGTGAGGGTGTCATTCTCTACCACTAAGGTTTTGTTAGAAAAGCAACTCTTAAAAATAAAAGCCACAAGAAAACAAGAACCTAGACAAAACAAATACCCAAACAGACAAGCTATGGCCCTGTGATGAAAACCTACAGAAGATAAAGCCAGATCAGCTTTTTACAAAGATTTAATAATAATTTGCCTTTAAGGTACCCCAAATAAGATGTATGGGTGCGATGATCTATTTTTCAAATTAGAGTTTTCTGATGGATTCTTGTGCAGACTCCATTTGCCAGAGGCTTATTTTTGTCTGGGTTCTGCTCTTTCTAAAGCTGCTGTGGAGAATTATTTTCTCAGGACATCAGATTCTTGGCTTGAGTTGCAACCAGACAGACTGGAACATTTTCTTAAACTATCTTTTCCCTCTTGTTTCTCATCTTTTATTTCTCAAAATACATGGGCTTTTTATAGCGATGGGAGCAATTTTCAAATCAGGCTCTCCAAAAATAGTTTGAATTAGAATATATTAGGGGAAAATCACCATTTATCCACGGAAGCACATCATGTTTTATTTTATTAAAAGCAGTACATGAGGGCTGCAGACAGGAAAAAATGAGGTGGAAAATGTTCTCTCTGCTATTATCTGTGCTGTGAATGTTCTTCGTCAGACATTTTTAACATTACCTGCACACGTTGATTAAAAGTACATCGAAACACAACTAGTTTCTGCAGCGCTTTGCTTTTCTGGGGACTGATGAGATCCAGAGGTTTTTTTTCCCCTAGTGATGGCATTAGGGTGCATTATGCTTAAATCTAAAATGCCTCTCAGTTACATGTGTTTGCATGGGGCGGGGGGCTTTTTGCAGGACCTGGATTACGGCACTGCTCTATTCGTGGTGGTTCATAGCCAACTGTGCTATTTGGAGGTGGGATCTGGTCAGAAAAAGAGGGAAGAATGCACTGTGGAGAGGGTGTTTTTCTTGTCTTCAGCTTCTTCCTTTTTTGTCTGCTTCCTGCCTGCCATGAGGAGAGCAGCTGTTTTCCACCAGGCCCTTCCAACACCATTTCTGCTTTGGAGCTGGCTGACCGTGGACTGAACTCCCTAAACTGTGAGCCAAGTGGAACACCTCCTTCTTTAAGAATTGCAGGGGTCTACATTGTCTTGATATGTTTGATGCTACAGTATATGAAGTTATACTCAAAGATTTCAAGGAAAGAGACACTATGGTAACTACTTTTATGTCGGGATATCGTGTGGTGAAACACTATTTTGCTTAAATGGTTATATTTTGACCTGCGCTGTTTTGTTGTTATGCCCTCATTTATCTCAATCTCCTTTTTTTATTATTTACTTTTTTATTTTTATCCTTTTAATTAAGGGAAAAATAAATAAAAATAACAGGATATATTATAGTAACCCACTTTGATTTTCTATTAACTTGATTTGAAACCCTGTATTGCTCTCACCATCTTGTTTTGACTGATTTTCTTCTATTCTGTTCTGCTTGATAGTACCAAGTTCGGAAGTATAGGAAACAACTGTAAAGACAGTAAGATTCATTATGACGCCCATTCTGGTTGACTATTATCTTCTTTTGAAGTCCTGTAATGTCTCCAATGTTTTGGTTTTATTGGTTTTGTTCTTTACTGTTTTGTTCAATTTTATTATAACTAATGATATAGGCAATTCTTTTTAAGATAGCAAGAGGCATTATGGTAGCAATTGTTGATCACCTTGTATTTTGTTTTTACATTATGTATTATGTCCATCCTTTCTATTTGACTTACTCTGTTCTGTTATGTCACATTTGGTTTTACTGTCTTCAAAAAAAAGTAGTAACAACTGCGGGAGTAATAAAACCCAAAATGTGTAATTTTCATTGTACAAAAGAGAGGAAAAGAAAGTGCTCTAAAGGACATAAATGCATGTATATTTAAGTATATAAGATAGATAACTATATTACTGAGTTCTGTTGGATCACTGAACAGAACTGTTTGTAGTCTCACTGTTTGAATGTCCACTTTATATGCTTTAATTTTGTAACTTGAACAACTATTTCTAAATGACAATGTGTAATCTATTAACTAGTGATTTCCTACTGTTTATTTTTTCTGAAATTCTGTATAACTTGTACCCTTTTTCTGTTTTTTTTTTCTTTTTCTCCTTAAATAAAATAAAATAAAAAAAGAATTGCAGGGGTCAGGTATTCCTGTCCCAGTCATAGCAAAGTACATAATACACTTTGTAAGATCCCTAATATCCTTGTTCCCTAGATCTATTTAAACCTCCATTCCTCTCTCACTTGCTTTTTCCTGCTTCTCACTCTTCGATGTCAGGGACAGGTCACACTCCTCACATGTGGTTGAGTCCCCATACCTCATGACATTACTATTTTTCATACCATAATACTTTTATTGTATTCAGGTACCGAACATTTTCCATTGTAATTAAGTAAAATCCAAACCCCTTTCAGTTTAGCATTCACAAGTCTTCTAAAAGCCAA